GGGGGGGGGGGGGGGGGGGGGGGGAAGGGTAGATAACTTGGGTTTTAGGGTTTATCGGTTATAACTCTAGTAACACCTCCCTAAGGCCCTAAGGTTCCTGTTGGGGATCCCTTGTACCGCTCGGGTTTAGGGTTTAGGGTTTCCTCAAATAAACTCGGCATTGTGCCTGCATCCTTCCACCCTCACCCCCTGAAATCCGAAACCGATGTAATCTCATCCATGAACCTGGAAGCCCTATTGGGGGGCCCCTATAGTGCACCGATAGACTCAACACCTATACGCCTATAGGCCCTAAACCCGTGCATCTTTAATGTTCCCGCCCTAACTAAACCCTACACCTAAGCGTAAACACCCCAACAGTAAACCCTTACTATCCCTTCTAGGTCCCCTATATTATCCCCTAAACCCCTTTTACTATCGGTTATAGGCCCGCTTTAAATCCTGAACCCAACCCTCTACATCCTGAATCCTAAAACGCTAAACTTGCTAAACCTTACCTATATTATTCACTATACTATCGGTTATGGGCCCACTTTAAACCCTAAACCCTACATACAGTGGTTTTAGGGGGCGAAAGCCGCTCAGGGGCGGAAGTCGACGTCGCAGAGTTTGAGCTCCTTGGCGCTACCAGTGGCTTCTAAGGCCATGCTTACACTAGGATCTTTTGGGTTTGGGTGGGTTTAAGGCGTAGCTGTTTAGGGTTTGGGGTGGGCTTAGGATTTACGGTTTGTACGGTTTAGGGACGGTTTAGGGTTAACCTTTTGGGGATTAGGGTTTAGGGGCTTAAGGGTTTCGGGTTTAAGGCTGAGGTCTTTGGGGTTCGCAGTGTAGGGTTAGACTCTCCAATGTAGCTCCTTGTTTGGCGGGGTCTTTCCTCCTCGCCGGGTCAGAATGCAATAGTGGTTGAGACTTCACACTTCGCGCGCAATTAATGTAGGGACCTTAATAATTACAATAAGTTTTGGGGGTACCTTATTATAGATATAGCATAATATACCCCAAACCCTATTCTAATCATTAAGGCCCCTATATTAAATCTCCAGGCAGGATTCCTTTCTATTCAGGGACTTCATGTTGGGCATTCCGATCTTCCCCTAAACCCTAAACCCCAAACCTGAAGAAACCCGGCAACCAACGGCAATAGGCGCCTAAACCCTAAACCCTGTAATATAGGGGTCTTAAGAAATAGAATAAGGTTTTGGGCTATGTCATACTATAATATCAATAGGGAGCCACCCAAAATATTCTTTGTAATTATGGAAACCCCTATACTATACACCCTACGCCCGACTGCAGGGCCTTTTAGGGCTTGGGGGTTTAGGGCCTGAGCCCTAAACCCTCAATCCTAAACCCGAAGCATTAAGCATTAAGCCCTGAGCCCTCGGGTCTAGGGTTTAGAGGTTGAGGCTTCAGGGGGTTAGGGCCTGATCGGGTGCTGGCTGGGGTAACACTTCCGCAGATCGTTATCGGGTTTGGGTCTAGGTTTTTTGTATAGGGTTTAGGGTTTAGGGTTTTGGGGACAAAGGAGAACTGTATGATCGGCAGTTGTTGCCTTTTCTTTCTTCCTACTGCCCTGCAGCGAACACTTTGGCTGCCGATTCTGGCAGGATGCATGTTTACACATTGTCCAATGGTTTGGGGGTCCAATTGGTACTGTGTGTATCTACATGCATAGCAGTGGCAGTGGTTGAACAGACTCCCCTAAACCCTCAACCGCCTAAACTCCTAAACCCCAAAACTCTAAACCCCTAAACCCTAAACCAATAAAGCCTAAACGGGGCTTCATCATTTAGCCGAACCGTCGTGTAAGCTGCAGAACCGTCCTGCAGTTCTCATCTGCTCTCACGAAATGCTAGGCCTGGACCCTAAATCCCTGGCCACGCAGTCCACCTTAGACTACCATCACCTGCTTTGTTGTAGGTCATAGGTTTCGGTCGTTTAACTGGGCTTTGAAGTAACCAGGGAGAAAAAGTATAGACTCTTATTTTATAATGGTTCCTTTAAGGAAAAGGTCCCCCCAAAAAAGTATTAAAGTCTGGTACTCCAAAGCCCAGGAAACGAAAAAGCATCCAGGCGGTTCTGAGCCGACAGCCTGAAACCGGCACGCTGAGCAACAAAAACCTATGCCCCCTGTTTAGGGTTTAGGTCCGTTAGGGTTTAGGGTTTAGGGTTTAGGGTTTAGGTCCGTTAGGGTTTAGGGTTTAGGGTTTAGGGTTTAGGTCCGTTAGGGTTTAGGGTTTAGGGTTTAGGGTTGAGCCACTCCAGCCCTAAAGCTTACAAAACGTAATCCCTGAGCATGCGCCCTGTACTTCAGTGCCGCCTCAACCAGAATTTATGAGCATAGCTGTGTGAATCATCCCTTAGGGGTGTCTAAAACAAACAACCTTAAGAACACCAAAAAGTGGAACGGCCATCATGCCACCCTAAACCCTAAACCCTAAACCCTAAACCGTAGGCCATCATGTCAGAGGGAAGGTTCGTGGAGGATCTGGTGATGCTCGAGCTTGATGTCGAGGAAATCGAGAAGCTTGTGGTCGTCCTTGTCGGGTTCAGAGCTTCTCTAGGGGAGGGGGTGCTGGTGCTGGTGCTGGTGGTGGTGGTGGTGGTGGTGGTGGTGGTGGTGGTGGTGGTTCTGGTGTTTCTGTTGGTGGTGGTGTTGGTGGTGTTGTTGGTGGTGGTGGTTCTGGTGTTTCTGTTGGTGGTGGTGGAGGTGGTGGTGGTGGTGCAGCCCCCATATCGAGGTCTTGTAGACTTGCAAACCCCTCGCAAGAACCCGAGTAGAACCCTCATATAACCCAAACATTCCAATGTACTGTTATTGGGGATACTTCCTTAAATCATATTAGTCATTCGTCATAATATAAAAACCCTACATGCTGCTATATGGGTACATCGGACCCTTTTGGTAACAGTAAACCCCTAGCACCCCGAACCCTCATCGACCTCTGAACCCCCCCCAGCGAGCCCGATACCCCTTAATTGGGCCATAGACCTTCAACTATACATGGGCCTCGTATTATGATTTAAAGGTCTAGTCCTTAGTTAAGTTAAAGGAAACTACAGGTGGGGAGTTTAGGGTATATAGGGCTTCTATAAGGCTTCCATAGGGTATATAGACCTTCTATAAGGCTCCTATAACGGAAACTGCCCACCTGAAAATGTCCTAGATTAAGGGGTATTGGGGCCGATTCGGACCGTTTCTGCCTATTCTCAGCTATGGTCTGAACTACTGGCATGGTCTGCACACTTCCCAATGCAAGCCTCGACAATGACAGAGAAACCCAGCATCCTAAACCCTAAACCCTAAACCCTAAACCCTAAAGCCTAAAACGCAAAAAACCCTAAAACCCTAAACCCTAAACCCTAAAACCCTAAACCCTAAAAGCCCTAAACCGTGGCTATCGTCTTTTTCTTGTGATGGACTCTGGAGCCTCTAGGGCACGTCCACAAAAACCTAAACCTACTGTTGATGATATAAAGCCGTCATTACCAAAAGGATCCTGAGATATGGGAGCTATGGTAGATTCCTTATTATGGATAATGCAGGATTTATATCATCAACCGCATCACCCACTATGCCTTAACCGTCAGGGTACAGTGTGTACCCTGGACCCTAGCCCTTGCCTTGATGTTGAGGATGTCGAGATGCCTCAAGGACGGAGAGCAGGTCTCAGGACAAGTTGAAGGGTTTAGGGTTTAGGGTTCAGGGTTTACCACTACTAGTACTAGCCCCCCCCCCTACCAACTACACTTGCTCCATCCGGGCTGGGCAGTGGCAGCTTCTAGGCTCGCGAACTGCGACAGGTGCAGAAGATGCAGGGGCTCAGGCCCTATCTGTGACAGCTGCAGAAGTTGCAGAGGCTCACTTTCCTTAACTGTCACAGTCGGTGAAGTCGCAGAAGATCAGGCCCCAAAACTGCGACAGCAGTTGGACTTGCAAACTCGACGGGGAAGAAACTGCTCAACCACAGGTGGTCGGATAGTACGAAAACGTGGTAAATTCCGTGCAAATCGCAAGTGCTGCCAAGAAGGTTTTAACACTCCTAAAACCTGAAGCGCAACATTTTATAAACATCAAAAAAAGAGA